TCAAGAAGATCCAGCGTTCAACATCCTAAACTGGAATCAATGTATTAAAAATACATCTGCGCCAGCCTAATAGATGACGAAGGGGTGCGAGGCTGGTCAACAGATAGAATCTGTTTACCCCTTAAGTCTTTGCCTAGGAGGCCTTCTTCAAGACAGCAGCCGGATGCATGTAACATCTGCCCAAGATGAGTATTTTTATCGAGAGACCATCTCTAGCCTTTACTCAACCAAGAGCCCCAAGGCAGGGTGTGTTTAATGTCGGAGTTTGCATCTCCTAGCCTTTGCCTAAAAAGGCATATCCTACAAGGCAGCAGGACATAAAGCAAATTGTACTGGGTTACATGTTACCAGTAGCAGGATAAACCTGACCTGACAAGAAAACATAATATAAAATAAAATTAATATTAAACATGAAAACTATAGTACCTGAAAGAATTCAACATAACATGTTTTTCAAAGTAACTTTTCTTTTCTATTTACTTCTTTTAAAATTCATCAGATCTTGTGAGATTGATTTAAATGTGGCTGTTTAATTTTTAGATCACAGTGTTAATGGTAATTGTCCTTTGGTTTGCAAAAACACCAAAGGTTGTATGTTTTTTCTGGGTAAACACTGCCAATATTTTTGTTATTGGTGACTTTAACATCACACTGAATTTTGGCTCTACTACCACTGACCCTGCCAGCAGTTTTTTTGTCTTTCTTAGTCTCTTACTCAGTTTAAGTTTGTTACTCATTTTCCAGTTTTAAAATTGTTTTCCAGAAATCTCATACTATTATTGAGTCGAAAAACTTTAAGTTTTTGGACTCAATAATAGTATGAGATTTCTGGAAAACAATTTTAAAACTTTTCAAGTTTAAGCCTTTGTCTCATATTTTTCTCTTTTTTACAAATACTTCATTGTTGCTACAAATACTTCCATGGTTGTTACAAATACTACTATGGTTGTTACAAATACTACCATAGTTGTTACTCAAGCAAGCATTTTTAGTAATACAAACAAAAATGCAATCTTTCGTGACTCGTCACTCAGAAAAGTTTTTATTCTAGTTGTTCTTTTATACATTAATAGTTTTTCTTCGAACTTGCAAGTAACCATAATTAATCTGTTTATGATGTTTAACCCTTAGATGTTTAAATGCGTAAACACCAAAAAAGATGTTTAGAGATATTGTTTTTTGTCACCTGCATAGCAGGGTTATACTGTACCTCATTGTTAATAGGTTTTTTTTGTTGGTATACTTATAAGTAAAGTTCTAGTGGTAGGAACTTTAATAATAAGTGAGAGTTTTAAGATAATAAGAACTTTTGTTAAATGTAAGTATCACGATAGTATACATATATACAATATCTAAAATAATATGTAAAATAAAAAAAATATACAAATAGAATAAAACACCCAGTGTTCACTGATATTTTGAACCTAGTCCCATATAAAAATTATAGGACTAGGTTGAAAACTTGTTTTTTAATAAGTTATCAATATTGAAGTTTGATCGTATAGAGGTAAAATTATTCTTTACAATACCCTTGATGAATAACCTTTAGGTATAAATAAAGGAGCTATAGGCATCGAAAGGCCAGGAGCCACTGGCATGTTTCCTGTATTTGTACCTTACATTTTGTTTTACAACTAAAAATTTAATTTTGATCCTTACTCATGTAGTTTTACCAGCGAAACTTCCTTGCATCTGCTCAATAACTTCATATCACCTGAAAATTAAAGATAAATTAAATTAATAGATTTTGTGTCAATAGTTCAGTTGAATTGTTAGGCTTGGCCTTAAGCTCTAGATATTTTTTATCTAATTTTATAAAAGAAGAGATTGGTAGTTAGACTTTTGTTAATTAGAATCAGAAGTAAATTGCACAACTGGGTTTAACTTTTTATGCTGGTTTAGCTGATTACATTAGCCACTCTTTGCCACTACTGGTTTGCTTTTTTTAACTGCTGCTGCAGCCAAGCATTTTTTTGTAGCTCATCTAACTACCGTCCCATTAGTCTTCTTCCTATCATAAGCGAGGTTTTTGAGTCTTTAATTAACTTTAATTAACAAACACTTAATTCTCATCTTAATATAACAATATACTTTCTGATAATCAATATAGATTTCAATTGGGTTTCTCAAGCTTCTATCCGTTGCCCTATATTTTTTAAATTTATATTAATGATCTTCCAGAATTTCTCACATCTGAGATGACATTGCTTATTGATGTTGCTACCGTTTATACTTGTCTTGATAAGAAGCCAACACTCTCTGATTGCTTGAAGGAGAAATTTGAGCTTGAAAAAGATCTCAATTCTGCTACAGCATGGAACTTTCTGTGGCTGGTGAATTTCAACTTAGATAAAACTCAATTTTTTTAGGTAACTGTTATTGCAACAATCTAGAACTTCCTATATTTATGAACAGTAATGTACTTTTTGAGTCATCTACTTTTCGTCTTCTAGGATTAACACTTCCAATTTTTCTTGGAAACTATATATTAAATCCATTTCAAAATTAGCATCTGCTAAAGTTGCATCTCTTTTTTTTTCTCTATATTTTGCTGGCCACTTTTTTACTCCAGATTCTATTCTTCAAATCTCAAATCTGTCCTTTTATGAAATACTGTTGCCATATCTGGAGCGGATTTTTGAATGATGCCCTTTCTCTTTTAGACAAGGTGCAAAAATGCATTGTAAACATAATTGGACTTGCTCTTGCAGCCAACCTTTAACCATTGTCACATTGTCATAATGTTGCTTCACTTTCTTTTTTCTATAAATATTATGGTTGCTGCTCTAAAGAGCTAGCATCTCTTGTACCATATAATAAAATTCATTCTTGTGTTACTCGTCATTCAATTAAGTCTCATCCTTTAACTGTCTGTTCCTAAGTGCTTCAAAAATTCTTATTTGTCTATTTTTTCCTCGAACATCGGTTCTTTGGAATTTGCTTCCTTCATCTTGTTTTCCTTATTCATATAATTTCCTTTCTTTATAAACTTCATCTTTTCTCTTCCAATAACTTCCAATTCTAATAGTGGTTGCTTGCAGCCTTGTTGGAAGTGAAGATGTTTAAAAAAAAAAAAGAGTGATTCAGCTAAATTTTATTGCGTTATCTTTAAATTTCTTTTCCAAAGAAATTTAAAGATAACGCAATAAAACTTAATTACTATTAGAGTGCCTAACTTTTAGGTAGTGTATTTAAAAATAATTTTATGACTTTATGAAATAAAGAAAATTAAAATAAAAATTGACTAGTTCTTAACCCTATCCTGCTGGATTTGTTAGTGCAGTTTACCACTTGTGGTTTTGTAGTCGCAGGGAACCACTTGTGGTAAAATTTTCTTTGTTTTAGGTTTCCTAACAACTGCTATATCAGGTGATAACATCATATTGATAAATGATGAAAAAGATGAACTTCTGGACACCATGTTAGTGGAAGGCTGACCCATACTATTATAAGTTTTTTTTTTGACTCAAACTTTTGACTCAGACTATTTTGTTCAAAATTAAAATTGAACCATTTTTTTCATTTTGTGATCTGAAAGTTTTCAAAACGAGGACAATCGAGTACTAAGTCATTCACTAACATTTGTTGATTCTGTAATTTTCAATATTGGTTTATATATCTAAGTTTATTATGATAGACAAGGCTAATTATTTTTTAATTGATGAAATTAAATAATAACGAAATTTAGAGTAAAATAATGATGAAAGTTAGAATTTCACTGATCAAAAATATTATAACAAATTAAGCACTCAATCTTAATATCCCAATCAATATTGAAGTATATTAGATTTTTTATAACCTTTGTATACTGATTTATTTATTATTAGTATGCAAAGGTTATATATTTATATACAAAGGTCGGTATCCCATGTGCCGACACTTGCAATAAGGAAATTTGTTGGAAACATTGCTGTATGTATTTTTTTGCATTTTTTTACAAAAAAACAGAAACAATATTTGTCATTTAAAAAAAAAAAAAAAGTATTCACCAACTTGTCAATTACTCATAAATTGGAAGTGTTAATCCTTAATTAAGTGTTAGAAGATGAAGGGTAGATGACTCATAAAGTAGATTACTGTTTATAAATGTAGGAAGTTCTAGATTGTTGCAATAAGGATTACTTGAAGTTTTTATCGGAGTTGAAATTCACCAGCCACTGGAAGTCCCATGCTGTAGCAGAGTTGATATCCTTTTCAAGCTCAGATTCCTCCTTCAAGAAATCAGAGAGTGTTGGCTTCTTATTGAAACAAGTATAAATGGTAGTATCATCAGTGAACAATGTCACCTTAGATGTGAGAAATTCTGGCTAGTATTAGTAGCCACCTAGTCTTAGTAACCACCTAGTTTTAAATGTAAAATTAGTTTAAAAGGTTTTTAATACCTATTAATAAAGTCTGCAAATAGAAAATAAATATGTATATTTTGGGGTTGTGGCTGATTGGTTATCTTCAGCTTCAGCTTGATCTGCCTAATCTGCCTGTAACAATGACACTGTAAAAATTTAATATACATTTATTTGAGAATTCCTTTGTGGGGGAAAAAAATGGTGTTATTATGAATACTAGCAAGTAGCTACTGTCAAAGTTTTTAATGTCAATTAATTTTTGTTCTGCACGTTTTTTAGTTACCAAGTTGTGTAGACTAGGTTGCATTGCAAACACAACAGGTGTTTTACCCTTTTAGTACTTACATTTAGTATGTCATAATACATTGTGATATGCTTAAATGTGTTTCCTATTATTCACTTTGTTATATATATATATATATATATATATATATATATATATATATATATATATATATATATATATATATATATATATATATATATATATATATATATATATATATGTATATATATATATATATATATATATATATATATATATATATATATATATATATATATATATATATATATATATATAATATATATATGTATGTATATATAATTATTTATTATGTTATATAATATTTTAAATGAAACATTTATTATTAGGTCTTGAAAAGTTATATTCTCTTGAAGAACTAAATATTTCACAAAATGAATTGCTGAAAGTAAGTTTATGTATGTGGAGCAAAAATAAAAGTTTTTTTTAAAAATTTATTTAAAATTTTTCTGAAATCCAGATATTTTTATGTAGTAACATAAAAAATGAAAACCTTGAACATCAGAATTTTATTTATTTATTTATTTCAAAATTAGTATAAATAATTCCATATAAATACAAGTGTGGATTAAAATAGCCCATGCCCTATCATGTTTATTGAAGGATACAAAAAACACTTCTATGTACATTTTGTAGTGTAAATGTTATTTAAACCCATGAAGAAGAGCTACATCAGGCTCCCCTATGTTGACCTAGTTAAGCTGCAATAAGCAGCTGGTCAAGAAAGTTACAATAAAAATTCTTTAAAGAAATGTACAGATGATGAATCAACTGCTTGACAAAGTTAACTTTCATTTCCAACTGCTTGGAAATGAAAGTTATCATTGTCAATCTGTTGAGAAAATTCAAACCGCTGGATTAGGTCACCTCGTTTCCTGCAATCCTCAATGATGTTAGTTTAAGCTTTTGTAATCTTTTCTCATATGGCAAATGTAATGAAATGAAATTATCTCAGGTATTGTTTTTGTAACACGTCTTTGCACTTTCTCCATTATCACAATATTTTTTTTTAAAAAAGGAGACCAAACCTGTACTGCAAAGTCTAGATGTGGAGGATTGTATGCAAGGTACAATAATTTCCATAAAACTAGTCTGCTGCTACAAAAAACTTTTTGGAGACATTTGAACATTTGATTCACAATCGAGACTGCTGTTTCAACTTGAGTTTTGACCATTAAGTCACTGGAAACAGTAATCCCAAGGTCTCGTTCAACTATTGTTTCTTCCAGTGTACAAAGAGTTCCATTTAGCTGTACCATTGTGTATGAATGTGTTGACTTGTTAGTGCGTTCAATACGCATAACTCTGCATTTATTGATGTTAAAAGGCATTAACCACTTGTGTGACCAGTCAACTATTTTATCTATGTCAGCTTGAAGAAGGTTGGCATCTTGCAGAGATTTGATGACTCCGATAATTTTACCATCATCGGCATAAAGTTTTGTGTGGTGTACAATGGTGTCCAGCAAATCATTAATAAATAAGACGAATATTAGTGGACCAAGGACCGAGCCCTGTGGCACACCGCTAGTCATGGGGGCCCACTCAGACGTTATTCCGTCTAATGCCATATGCTTGCAGTTTGTGTAACAGGCGTCTGTGTGGAACTTTGTCAAATGTTTTAGCAAAGTCTGTATAAATTACATCTGCAGAAAACCCTAGGTGTATGCTTTTTGTAAGTATGTCATGTGCTTCAAGAAGATTTGTGACACACCCTAGCTTAGGAACAAAACAATGTTGAGCTTTGGATATAAGTTTATGTTTTGTGCTTCATTATACAATCATGTATGAGACTTTCCTTGACTATGCAGACTATGGTTGTTAGTAATATTGGTCTGTAATTTGATGGTTGAAGATTACTTCCTTTTTTAAAAATTTGTGTAATTTGATTTTTTCCACAAATCTGGAACATCACCCGTGGATATAGATTTCTTGTAGATTATTGTGATTGGGATTGCAATAGATGTTGCACACTTTTTAAGAATGCGTGGATGTATTTCGTCATAACCCGTGGTCTTATTTTCAGATAACCCTTTTAGTTTTTTTTCTATTTCACGCTCATGAATACTATCTTCATCAAACGAGGACATGAGAGTTTTGGTGCTGTTTCTTTTAAATGAACAGCTAATATACCAGCAATAACACAGTGTGATTGACCTGTTTTTGTAAACCCCAGTGGATCATTTTCTGAGACATTTTCTTGATCATCACTAATAATAAGGTCAAGTGTTGATGACGGTTCAACAAGATTCGAATGACGGTAGGTTGAAAAAGTTATTAGCTGTGTTAAGTTATTATCTTCTAAACAAGATTGGAATCTCAAATCTTTGGGGCATTCATCTATCATAAGTCCAACGTTTGCGGCTTTACCATTTATTTCAATAGACTCATACCATGTGTGGCTTAAATTTAAATCACCATATAATAACATACAGGAGCAGTTATAAGTTAACATGGACTGTTTGGCCGCTGTAATTGATTCAATTGTTTGAGTAAGGACAATGTCATTAATGTCAAGAGGTTTGTATATAAAACCTAGTCACAATGATTCACCATCAAATTGATTATACACCATACTTGCTCAATAGCTTTAGTTGCTTATTTCTAACTTCTGTTGTAGTTATATCACTTCTTGTGTATATTGCAACGGCTTCTCCTCTGCTTTCTCTGTTTGCTCAATGCAGTTCATATCCTTTTATAACTGTTCCAGATGTATTATTATACCATGTTTCTGCAAGAAAAATTATATGAGGTCTTTCATGCATTGGCTTGGATGAAATTCTAGCTATTAGCTCTCCTTTTTTTAAATTGTTTAATGAACATGGGTTGTTTTTTCCAGAAACATAGTTGTGCTGATATTAACAAAGTTGATTATTGTGAAGATAACTGTGAGAGGTTGGGTTTTGAGTTTAATTTCAATCTTATTGAGGAGATTTGTTTATTATTACTTTTCAGGTGTATTTCAGGTTTTGAGGTTGTTAGGTGTGGTAGATGAAATTGTGTTGGTAGCTAATGTATTGTTTCCTTCAATATTGCTACTGTTGATGTTACTTTGTTGGCTATTGAGTGCGATTGTTGCTGATTTAAAAACATACTGTTTAGTTTTGGTTGATTCAATAACATCAATGCAGACAATTTTACCGGTGCAGCGATGGATATCATTCTGAAATGGCTGATCTAGCAGCCCTGCAGCTTTATGTTCTTGATTTTATTTGACTATTTGTGATCGTTTGGCATTAAAATTGACCTGCTCATCAGGAGTTCTATCTTCGTGAACAAAAACTTTCTCATATTGTTTAATGAAATGATGTCTGCAGGTGTTTAGAACTAACTCTTTCTCTATTTTATTTGAGAGAGATACTTGGATAATGTTAGAGTTAGAGTTATTTGATGTTATCTTAATTTACTTGATTTTAGTCTTTGAATATGCTTAATTTCAACATTTTTTAATTCAACAGCTCCAAAAAAATCCATTACTTGTTTATTATCCTCAATTGTGTTATTTTCTAAGATTCAATAACAATGACATTTAATTCTCTTGATTGGGTGTGTTTATTTACAGTTGAAATTAGGAAACATATCTGCTGGCGTTGTTGCTTGCTTTCAGTAGACTTACCAATGAAAGCATCACTAAAAGTTTTAGATTCCAGTTTGTTCTCGTTTTTTTCTACTTGAATTTTCAGTTCATTTATTGTATTTTCTTGTGCAATAACTTTCTCATTTAATAATTTTATTTCCAAATGCATATCTTGGAATGCTGCAAATACTGCTTTGTCCAGCTTAGTTAAAATGGTGTTTCTTTGTCCAAATCCAGTATAGTCATACTTAGAAGAAAAAACTGATATCTGTTGCATCATTAACTTTTGAAGACATAGTATGATGTTTGATGGTGGGAGGGCTACCACCCTGAACAACAGTGGATTATCTCCCTGATATATAATTTTCAATATTTATTATTTACCTTATTAACACAAATAAAAATGTTAGTTTTTTGTATTTTTTCCATTTTTATTTTAAAATGTAATGATGTTTTTTCCATTTTTATATTAAAATGTAATAACGTTTTAATATGTTATTTCATGTGAAACATAAAGAAATATACAACATTTTAGTAACATATAAAAATAAAAAATAAAATGTCATGAGTTCAATTTTATTCAGATTATTTTTTTATTCTTGAACAATCAACAATTTTCATCATATTTTAAAATCTCTTCAGATGAAAAAAGTTCATAACCAGTCAATAAGAAAATAAATTTTCAAATTCTTTTAAAGTTATTTTAATATATAAGTAAATCTTTAAGATCTAAATAAGAAAACATCGGAGTTAACATGTTTTTGCTCTCCAATTAAAATTATTTGAAATATAAAATTTTTTTTAATCTTGAATTTTGAAAAGTTAGTTTAAAACAAAAGGTCACAGAGTTAAGTAAACTAACTTCACTAAGTATTTATAGTATTCAATTAATTATATTCCTTGATACTTTACATATGATTTGAATCTTGATTTGAATCATCGAAGAGCTTTTGTTACATAATATCAGAATAACTTCCACTTTTAACACTCTGATTATGTGATGCATTTTACAAATATTGTTTGTAGTGGCCTCTTGCGGATGTAGAAGTTTTAATTATTTTTAAAAGAAATGTTGTTTTGTTATCAAAAAGATTGTCATGTTCATATGTCTTTGTGGACAATTTGTGTAAGATTAGAAATCTTATTAGAGTTAATAATTTTTATTTTGTGAAACGTCAAGTGAGAATACAAAAGGGAAAATACAATATCCAGAGGAGTTGTGAGACACGTTCTAAGTTGAAAAATTATTTTTTATTGTGTAAATATTAATTATACCATTTTTAATAATATTTTTGTAGATAACAGCTATTCATTAACTTTACATAGCTAATATATTTATTTATTTAATTTTTGTAGATAACAGATGTGCTTTTACTTGGAAAGTTGCCTTTACTGCGTACATTATTAGTACATAATAACCCGTTCACAGATGTTCATAACTACAGAGAAATGATATGGGCATCATTTTCTGGACGAGCATTTGAGGTTTTGTTTTCTTTTATTGCACACACCCACATTCAAATTACTAAGTATATGTGTCTATTGTTTTTGTTTTGGTTGAGTCATGTATGTAAACTAAAAACAGAAAAATCCAGTTCTTATCTTGAGTATTGAAAAATTCAAAAAACTTCTTTCATTTTCAGAATAATTTTAAATAAAAAAGTTTTGATATTATTTATTATATATATATATATATATATATATATATATATATATATATATATATATATATATATATATATATATATATATATATATATATATATATATATTATTTATTTAAGATTATTGTTTATTATATATATATATATATATATATATATATATATAATATATATATATATATATATATATATATATATTATTTATTTAAGATTATTATTTATTATATATATATATATATATATATATATATATATATATATATATATATATATATATATATATATATATATTATTTATTTAAGACTTTTTAAAAAAGATTAGTTAAAAAATAAAATCAACATATTAAAATAAAAATTTAACAAGTTTTTGAAAACTATTATTTTTTTTCAATTTTTACAAGTTATTTACATAAAATTGTTTAAAGAAATCTGGCTACAAACAATGATTTAATTTTTAATAAACCCATTATACTGATCACAAAAATGAATTTAAAAAAAATCTTTTATGTGGAATGTTTTTACTTATTCAAAGTCAACAAAAAAACAGTTTTCCTTTTTGCATATTTTTGATTGTTTTATCATATATTTTAATAAGGAACTCAATACTTTACCCATTCGTGAGTGTTTGACCTGGTACACATGGCAGCCATTACACCCGAGTTAATGGAGAAAAAGAGTTGCAGCACTTTTTATATCAAAAAATCTAAATAAAAGTGTATACAAATATCTAATTTATGTAATTATGTAATGTTAAAACAAATATCAAGTTGTTTTACTTTTAATCTAAAATTGATTTGTGGCAACATCTCCTTAATTTTGATTTTTAACATTTATTTACCGTTTTATAAAGTCTTTTCTTTATTAAATACTTCTGAAACTTTCATCAAACAATACACCTTAGTGGCCGAATGGTTACATTGCAGCATTCTTAAAGGGATCCCAAACTGCCGACACATGTGTGTTTATATTAAAGATAATGTTAAAAAAAAAGGTTTGAACCAAGTTTTTTTGACTAAAAATAAATAATGAATGCATACCGAGAAAAACTAACGTTGTTGTTTTAGCCGAAGCTCGCCTTCTCCAATTTTTGAATAACTCAGAGCCTTTAAATTATACGTCGCAGTCTATAGACTTTGGCGATTCCTTCGAAGCGCGTTTAATTCATAAAAGTTTTAGTATTTGACGTCACGGTAGACTTTTAATAAATGAAACTCTGGAAATATTTTTATTTATTTTTATTCAAACTTTTTTTGATTATTTGTTAAGTTTTTTTTCTTTTTCTTTTTTTAACATTTAAAAAGATATTAAAAACCTCAAATATTTTATGCTGGTTCGTTGCTATAAATTGTTATTGCGCCATATATTTAATGTTTATAAATTATGAATATTTATTATCTCAATCAAGACTCTGATAAAAAATTATTTTACATTAATTACCCTTATAAAATTAGTAAAAGCATTTTTATTTGGTTAGATAATATTTTGTCTCAATTTGCTTTGCATGAAGTTCGGGAAGTCAAGCGAAAAAAATTAGTTTGAATAATCACTTTGAAATATATTCAAAACAAATTATTTTAATGATGGGTGTTTAAAAGTTTTTTAAAACAAATGTAGGTAAAAAATAAATAATTAAATAAAAAGTTCAATATTAAACATTATTTCTTTATTATATTGCAACTGTAAATATTGAAATATTAACTTAAACTAAATTTACTTATTATTTAGAACGGCTAAACAATAAAAATAAAAAAACCCTAAAATTATGCAATATTGTGTTGTTTATTTGATAATTGCTGTTGGTAATGTTGTTTATATTGATTATTTTCATTAATATCAAAATAGTCCCAGATTAATCTGTTAGTTGCTTTGTACATTGTTGCTTTATTTCTAATTTAATTTTATCTCTAAGTATAAATTTATGTTAAGAAAGAAAAGTTTTTATTTCATCGCTCGCTCTTTTTGTAAAAGAGTAGAACAAAAGAGAAACAAAAGTTTTGCGTAATTAAACTTCGAAAGAATAAAAGAGTTGTATAGAATATATATATTTTTTTTGCGTCACTTGTTCTTTTTTTAGATGAGAGAAATAAAAGTTTAACAGTAACTTTTCTTTGAATAAATGAAAATTGGAAGAAAAAATTGCTTGAAAATTTGTATTTGTTGTGTTTTAAAATTTTTAAAATTTTTCATGTTAAGAGACAAATGCCAAATAAGATACAAATTGGGAAATACCAAATATAATAAGTTTTTTAACGCGCGTTATGACATTTTGACAATTTAAATTACCATTTATCTTGAATTATTGTCATTAATTAATGTGTTAATTATTGCGTTATATAAAAATAATTTGTCCGTATTTTTGTTAAATATTAGTTGTATAAAACGGGCGAAAATATACAAACTTCATGTTTTTATTTGATGGTTATAAAATATTGAACAGTAAACTAATAATCAAAATTTATAATGCCGACTTGTGTTGTTATAAATTGTACTTTTAACGCAAAACCAAGATCTCACATATCCTTTCACGAACTTGCATATCTGATACTACTGTCAACTGTATTGTTTAGTGTATTCTTGTACTTTTTTTTCATAACCTTAACAGGTTCTAATTGGTATAGAGTTGCCGACATTTTAAAAGTTTTATTATCAAAAATCAAATGTAAAATCAAATGATATTTCCTTTTTATCTGTATCCAAATTTAAAGACTCGGATTTATTCAAAAAAATGGAGAAGGCAAGCTTCGGCTAAAACAACAACATTAGTTTTTCTCGGTATGCATTCATTATTTATTTTTAATCTAAAAAACTTGGTTCAAACCTTTTTTTTAACATTATCTTTAATATGAACATGTGTTCATGTTGTGTTGGGTTGTGTTGGTTGTTGGGTTGTGTTGTGTTGTGTTGGTTAATATGAACATGTGTTCATGTCATGTTGTGTTGAGTTTGGGATCCCTTTAAGTGGGTCGTTATGGTTCAAATCCTTGCTTTTCCACTCTTTTTTTTAAAAGTTTTTTTTTTCGATCTTATAAAATTAAAAAAAAAATATTTTTGAATTTCAATAGGTATTTTTATTTTTTTTTAAAGTTTTACTTTTATATAAAAATTGCATTGCATTACAAATTTTTATGCATATTATAAAAGAATTTGCATTTCTTAGCTACTTAACAATATTACAAATTATTAATATACATGCATATTATTTTTTTACACTGATAACTTTTTAAAATTAAAAAAAAAATCTTGGCTTGGGCCCCAAATAGCTCTGGCCCTTTGCTATGCTACTGATATATAAATATATATATATATATATATATATATATAATATATATATATATATATATATATATATATATATATATATATATATATATATATATACACACATATATATATACATATATATATATATATATATATATATATATATATATATATATATATATATATATATATATATATATATATATATATATATATATATATATATATATATATATATATATATATATATTATACATTAAAAAAAAACATTCAGATTGTCAAGCTGACATCATTTAGATTTAGGGAGTTGTTTGGGCAGCTATATCGACTGAGGGTTTGGGTTGGGTCAGCAATGAGTTTTTTCATTATTCTTTGCTTTTTTCTTTTTTTCTGAAAAAACTGTATAGAAAAAAGTTGTAATTGTTTGCACTGAATTGTATACCTATGCTATATTATATAGATATATTTAGTATGTAAAAACATGTTGTGTTGAATCTACCACTAAAAAAACTGTCCATTCATTCCTTTCATTAAATGATTGTGTGCCCACGCTAAAATGCTTAGTAAATGTATTTACACTCCTATACGCTTATACACTTTCGATGTATGAAGACTCCACTATGCCTAAAGCTATACCAGTCAATGTATGTGCAATCTACTGCATTTATAGATACATTATTCAATTTATGCACTTGATATATAAAAAAATATTTATAATACATACACATAACAAAAATGCTCTATTAATAAATACTAAAGATTTGTCATAAGTAATATTTTTTTTGGCATGCATTTATCAGATCAAAGTTTGAAAGTCCAAATTTAATTACTTCGAAACTTTGTTATTTTCTAATGTCTACTAAATGAACAAAACATAAAAAAATGTGATAAAAGGATGTGAACCCACATCAAACCACATACATTATTGAGCTGACAGCCACACCTCAAATATAGAACTTTGCAGCATCTAGAGTTTATGTCAACATAATGATTATCTTATTATATTATAGAGAACTTAATAATAATGCTCATTTGTATTTGTTTGACAAAGACCTAATGGCAGCCATTGAAGTTGAGTTAATGGCAAGAAAAAGTCTTCCAAAAATTTTTTCATTTTCATTTTTATGAAAATATGAAAGAAAATTTTTAAAAATAAGCTCCAACATCCTAAACAATTTGCATAATTTAAAAATATTAAAGTTTTACAGTTTTAATTTTTATTTGAAAATTGGTGGTGGTCATTAGTTTTTTATTCATAGCATTTATATAAGTATATAAATGATAGGTGTGGAGCAGATTTCTCATGACCTACCATTTATATACTTCTTTTTAATGCATGACATGTATTAGGGGTCTAGACTGCTAGTATAAAAAAATTAATAAATTTAAACTTTTTTTTGCATATAAATAATATTTCAGCGAAGTTGAAAAACTAAAAAAGCTAAAAAGTATATTTTGAATAAAAAAAATTTAGTATTTTAAAACCCTCATATATTGACAATATGTCATCTATATACTAGGTCAAGTTGCCAAAACAAAATGTTATATGCATGGTCACACTTTTCCTTCAAAAGATTGTATGTATGTATAACATATATGAAGCCCATCTGCCAGCACTTCAGTAAATACTTTGACTGTTAGATAATAAAGTTTACGATAATAAAAAAACAAAAACGCAAACTTAAAGCACAGTATTTGAAATACACAAGTAAAATAAAAAGTATATTTAACAATAATGCAGTAAATTGGTATTTAAACAAACTTTTTATTATTGCATTTTTATAGTTTTTATAATAATTTGTTTGACTTAATTTTTTTCTTGTGAATATATTATTTGATGTTTTAAATGTGCAGTGTGAAAAATGAATATCAATACTACTGTTAGCTACTAACAATACTGTTGTGAATTATGCTTATTTGTATGATACCATGTTTAGCATACAAGTAAAATGTATTTGTATGCTAAAAATGGTATCATGCAAAGTTGTAAGTACAACCAATTTTATGGGAAAGCATCACTCTTCATTTCATGGAAAAACTATAATATACTTTTCATTTCATGGAAAAACTATACATACTCTTTATTTGCCAATATAATGCCCTGTAAGTATAACTGTAAAAATAATTGCCTGTATAATGATACAGCAGACTACATTTTGTAATAATAATTATTAATACTGAATAAAATATTTTCAATAAATAAAATGCAGTCAATTTGTTTTTTGACACAAAGCTTTTCAACATTTCAAATTAGAAAGTTTGCAGTGAATTTGATCTACAAACAAATAATAAAAAAAATAAAACTAAAATTATATACTCAAAAATAAATACTTTTTAGAAAATTTTATATTGAAAATTTTACTTTTTAAAATTGTTTTTGTTTTTAAATTAATCATTTTAAGAAAATAAATTTCTTTTAGATATCATTAGATGGACATACTCCGAGTAAAAAAGAGCTGGTAAGTTGTTTTAAGTTTATTTTAAAAAATACTTGAATTTGTGAATTTAAAAACCTAAAAAAAAAATTAATGTATTAAACTGCTAATGAAATGAGCTAATTGATTAAAACAAAACAAAGCATTCAAATGTAATAAAACTGTACAATCAAAATTAAAAAAAAAAAAAAAAGATTTTCTTCTTTTGTTTAACATTCAAAGAAGACAATGATTTTATATCCAAGTTATATGTGATCTTAAAATGCTTATATATATATATATATATATAATATATATATATATATATATATATATATATATATATATATATATATATATATATATATATATATATATATATATATATATATATATATATATATATATATATGTATATATAATATAATATATATATATATATATATATAATAATTATATATATATATATATATATATATATATATATATATGTATATATATATATATATATATATATATATATATATATATATATATATATATATATATATATATATATATATATATATATATATATATATATATATAAGCATTTTAAGATCACATATAACTTGGATATAAAATCATTGTCTTCTTTGAATGTTAAACAAAAGAAGAAAATCTTTTTTTTTTTTTTAAATTTGATTATATATATATATATATATATATATATATATATATATATATATATATATATATATATATGTATATATATATATATATATTTATACATATATATATATTTATACATATATATATATATATATATATATATATATATATATATATATATATATATATATATATATATATATATGTATATATATATATATATTTATACATATATATATATTTATACATATATATATATATATATATATATATATATATATATATATATATATATATATATATATATATATATATATATATATATATATTAAGCAAATTGCTGGTAGAAAGGACCACAAATTGAAAAGGACCACAAACTTTCAATGCTTGCCTTTCTACCAGCAAATTGCAGGTAGAAAGGCAAGCATTGATTGAGTAGGCTTGTATTTTCATGTTCATGTGCGAATTTTCAACATTTTAATTATTTTATTCCACAGCAATTCCACAGGCTTTTTGCTGAAATTCCACAGGCTTCGTTTAAAAAGAGTAAATTGGTCCGTTTATAATGTTAACACTTCTATTCTCAAGTAATGCATTGACCACAACTTTTTTGTTTTCATTAGGCAGAATGTGGAGATACCATTGGATATACAGTTCAGTATGTGTTTTAAATGTTCTTGTTGCCAATCATAGTTAGTTATTTTAATGAGGATATTTATCAACCTATTGCTAACCTTGATAATCTTTATCAACCTATTGGTAACCTTGATAACCTTTATCAACTTATTTGTAATTTTGCAATCACTCTTGATTCTCTCATAAATCCTTGTATATACTTTGCATAAGTAATATATGAATCTCGAAGCATCAACAGATCGCGTTATGAAATAACACATTTTTTTTTTTTCATTTCTTGTGAAGAAAACAGTTGCGAGTGTCTGTCCACAAGTAAAAATTCACAAGTGAAGATTCACAAGTGAAGATTCACAAATAAAGATTCACAAGTGAATTCATTTCTATTCATAAATTTTTGCAAAAATAAATATTAGTTCTCTAGATATTCCATTTCAAAGTTTGACTAAATTTTTAGAAAAATTGACCAAATGTAGTCAAATGCATTTTTAAATATGAAAATAGCACACAATTTATACTTTCTTATGGGTATTTCACTTGATTATTGTTTACTGTCTAGTTCAGATAGATTACTTTATTTAGAGAACATTTAATGATTATTGAATAAAGAGAACAAAGATCTTATTTGTTGGCTCAAAACAAATTCATCTGATGTAAGATGTTTTTCTTATTATTGTGTTCACTTTCTCTGGTGACATTTTTTCTCCTATTATTCCTTTAGTCTTTTTACAATTTTAAAAGAGGTCACTATAAAAGAATTGAATATTTGCCTGATTCAAACAGAATGTTTGTAATAAAAATAGCATATTTTATTCATTTAGTTCTAGACAAAATATGATTGTGTCAAATATCCATTAAATTACCAAATTTTATCATATGTTAAAAAACTGGTAGCAAAAAAACATTCCATGACATTTAAAAATAATAAATGTTGTTTTGAGTTTTTGAAGTTTTATGATGATTTAGTAAATAGCTGTAGTTTAAAATGAGTTCATAAATTGATAAATATAATTAAAAATAAAAAAAATTTATTGATGTCAAAAATTCTGTTAAGCTTAGGTTTTACACATTTTTTATTCAACTGTGTGGTGTTTTTACTTAGCCTGAGGATTGGTTTACAAAGTGTGGTTCGGTTAACAGAGTGTGGAGATTAAAGAAATCTGAAAATGGTTTGAGTGTTAGAAACTAGACTGAAACACTTCTTGCAATGGTAAAAATATATTAATTCTCAAGAGAATTATTCTGTTGAAAAAGATAAGAAAAATTTGAAATAAAAAAAAGCATAAGGACCTGACTTGAAACAGAAGTCGTGGAATTAAAGTTTCCATGGCTGCCTAAATCCAGAGTGTTGCATAGAAAGCAAAAGTTTTCTGCAGACAGATAAAATTATGAAAGGAATCTCAGTAGTCACAAGATAGCTCTAAGAAGTTAGAAGGTAGCTGTAAAGAGTGCAATTACAAGGTTTGTTTGATGTTAAAGAAGCATAAATTTTATAGTGAGACTGTAACATGGTCCTAGCCAGCTAAAAGAGAACAAAGAGAAGCTGGGGTCAAAGAAAAAACATAAATAAAGAAGCAAAGGTAAGGGCTGTTTATGTAACAAGTTATGGGCTGTTCAGAATATGAAATGAGAATATGAAAAAAGACTGACCAATTAAATACGAGAAAAGACCAGATCAAAGAATATGAGAAAGGACTGTTTAGAATATGAGAAAAGACTAAACAAGAATAGAGCTGTCTACGTAACGAGTTACAAAGTTAATCTTGTAAGAAATGGAGGAAAACAAACAAATATTAGCAGAGCAACTAAGAATAAAAGGAAACATAATAAAGATGGTTCAAACTTGATTTCACAACAGTTAAATTAATTGATGTAAAATCAAAGAATAATTGCCATCAACACTGATTTTGTGAGATTAAAATAGTTTTACAAGGAACAAGTAGGTCTTACGATTTTTATGCTTAATATTTTTAAGTGTTATTGTTATGGTTGAAATTGTTAAAAAGAACTTGACTCAAAAACATTCCGATTTGCTGTATGAAAAGTTATTATTGTACTGCTCTGCTATTCCTGCTAGTCTTGGGATCCAAAAAGAGAGTCTTTGCTGGGCTTGAGGTTAATGAATAGGTGTGCATGTATACATAGCTAGGTGATTGTATGTACACGCATGTGTATTTATGTGCAAATATGTGTGTATCTATGCATGTGGGTAAGTATGTGTATATGTCTTTATATTTATGTTTGTGTATGAATGTAACAATATTAAACTTTTTAATTATTTTAATGCTTTTTTGTTTTTTTTATTTTATTTTTAATTTTTAGCATGTTTTTTGTCATAGTTTTTATTTTTCTTATTATAAATATTTATCGTATCCACAATTATTATTTTTAGCTTTACTATTATTATTCATATTTTATTATTTTTAATTTAAATACCTGTTTTATATCCTTTGTGAAATTATTTTTTAATATAAACAATAATTATGAAAAGACTACACAACAATCTAATAAAACCATTATGACCACATTAGAAAATTTTTTTTTACAAAATATTGAGATTTACCTTGCGCTCAAAGTCAATTAATTTAGGAACAATTTAAGGCATTTTTTTAGGGTAATTTGTTGCTTGAGCACAATGCAAATGTCAATATTTCTTGAATTTGTAATCATATTTTTTTAATATTTGCCCTAGATTTGGTTTCTTGTGTATTCGCATTTTGAAAATTTTATTTTTTTGAACATCCCTAATAGCTAAATTAGCAAACCCTGACGTCCTAAATTCATGTATTCAAAGAAATATCTTTTACAACAAGATGCTATTTTAAATCAAATTCTTGTCTTCAGATTAAAATTAACAAAGTGAACACAAACAAAGTGATAAATCAGGGTTGCGGCAAAAGTTTACCTCATGAATATCCCCTCCATCATGAAGGAGAAATGTTAGCATGGAGGCTCCATGATGTCAAAAAAACTGGACCCTAAATAAACTCTACATTTTTCACTGATAGTTAACTTCACTTAGCCTTTGCCAAAAAAACAAACATGAAAGGCAGTAGTCATGTGACATACTGTTCTGAATCATGTTACTAGTTGAAAGTGATCATATGACTTTGTTCTTTTTCTGACCTGAATCACACAATATGAGAAACTATATAAATTATCAAGAACTATATGAAATCTCATGAATTTATTTTCAAATTAGAGTTAGGAACTATATTATAAATCATTTTATAAATTATATGTTATGTATAAATTATATCGTCCTTATCAAAAGTATTATTTTTTCAAATGAGATCTTTTCTGATTATTTTTTTTATTTTTAAAATAATTTTAGCAAAGAATCTCTAAAATATTGGAAGTAGAAGAACAATATGTTGTAATTGAAGATAACATTTTTTCACAACATCAAATATCTGAAGTGCCAGGGATTTCTTTTAAGGATAATTTAAATTTGTTAACATCTGCAACAGCTGCACCAAAAATTAAAAAGGTTTTTTTAAAAAGTTATTGTTTCATCATTTTTTTCTAAATAATATTTGTTCTTTAGTTAATTTTGTAAATAATATTTGTTCTTCAGTTATTTTTCTAAATGATATTTGTTTTCAGTTATTTTTCTAAATAACATTTGTTCTTCAGTTATTTTTCTATATAATATTTGTTCTTCAGTTATTTTTCTGAATAATATTTGTTCTTCAGTTATTTTTCTAAATTATATTTGTTTTTCTGTTATTTTTCTGAATAATATTTGCTCTTCAGTTATTTTTCTAAATAATATCTCTTTCTCAATTATTTTTCAAAATAACAGTTGTAATGTTTATTTCAGAAAGATCACCTTGTAACCATTTCTCAATCTGAAAATAAGAACTGTAAGTTTTTTGATGAAATAAACAAATTTTAATATTTAAAATGTTTTAAACAACTTTTTGTAGTTAACTGATTTTTTTTTTTTTGTATATTTTTCTGTTAAATTTAACACACAAAAATATTTTTACAGAAATAAATTTGAGAAATTGTTGAAAAAAGTGAATGAAATTAAAAGATCAAAGAATAAATCCTGCTGTAGTAAAAAAAGACATTTATTTGAAGAACATAAATAAAGTACTTTGGATTGGATAATGTTATGTTTGAGGAAATCTCATGTTATGTTTGAGGAAATATTAAAAGATAAAATGAGGATAGTAAAAGACAAGGAAGTAGATATTGCTTTCTTACAAAACCAGTTTGGGGAAAGAAAAGGAGGTACAGATTGTTTGATGATTATCAAACTTTTCTAGTTAAACTTAGTGGTTTAAGGAAACAGATATTGATGAACATCCTAATGTTCAAAATTCTGTTCTTTATCTTATCTGTGATAATGATGATCTTCTTCTTTAAAATATCATTTAAAAATAGAAGATCACAATCAATTGTTCATACAAAAGTGGGAGAGAGTATAACACCCTACCATTATTTACATACATTATTGATTACTGTTATATTTGGTCACTATTTTCAATATAATGGTGTCTCAGGTTTTCTTAGTTTTTACCTAAGCATTGTTGATACTGCATTAGGAGATAAAATCAGCTTACCGCCACAACAACAACCTCTCACTCAAAGGACTGGCAAAGACACTAGAGTCAAGAGACAAATTCCTAACTCCAGTGTCTTTGCCAGTCGTGTGAACACTGAGCTAAATTAAATCTAGCCAATTGTCTTTTCAGCAATCTGACAGGTTGTTGTTAAAGTAAAGCTGTTCAGCAATGTCATTTGAAAGGCAGTCATTAGAAAGCTTGATAATGTGATCTATTTTTTTCTCAACATTTTTATGTATATTCAACTGCTGTTGCCTTGTTACAAATTTTTTTTCTTTTGTTTCAGTTTTTTTTAAAGTAGATGTGTAATTATGATCAAGTGGTCCAAGTTGATTTTTGCATTGATTTTGTCCAATGAACTCATTTTTTTATTGGAACCTTTAAAGTACATTTGCGTTTCTATCTTTCTACTCCTGCAATATAACCATTACACGAACATATATCAAACGTTTTATCAACGTTTTATATAATTTATAATAGTTAAATATTTTTCATAAAGACAAGGATTACAAATTTTTTTTTTAAACATCTTCACTTTTAACAAGGCTGCAAGCAATTGCTATTAGAGTTAAAAATTAATGGCAGATCAAAGATGAAGCCTATTATATGATTTATAGAAAAGTGGAAGAGAAGCAACATTACAACAATGTGACAATGGTTAAAGGTTAAATACAAGAGCAGGTCTAACTATGTTTAAAATACATCCTATGTAAAGCAGAAAGGGCATCAATTAAAGATCTGATCCAGATATGGTAACAGTTCCATACAAGAAATTCATAAAGGTAGAATCCAGTAAGAAAGTAGCGAGCATGATAAAGTGATGCAACCTTAACACATGCTAACTTTGCAATTTTTGGATTTCATATATAGTTTCCAAGAAAAATCGGAAGTATAAGTTAATTCTAGAAAACAAATTATAGATGACTCATCAAGTACATTACTGTTCCTAAACTTATGAAAATCTAGATTATAACAATTAGCTGAAAAATATTGCGTTTTATCTGAATTAAAGTTCACCAGCCACTGGGAGTCTCATGCTGTACCTGAAGTGAAATTCTTTTCAAACTTAAATGCTCTTTCCAAGCAATCAAGGAGTGTAAGCTTCTTATTAAGACAAGAACGAATAGTAGTATCATCAATGAACAATGCTATCTTAGATGTGAGAATTTCTGATAGATCGTTAATGTAAATTAAAAACAGTATAGGGCCAAGGGTAAAACCTTGAAGAACCCCTAAATTTACAGGAAATGAAAAAGAATGAAAAAGAATACATTAAGGACAACTTTTATACTACAATTGGTAATGAAAGATTCAAAAATCTTAAAGATGTTACCTGATACACTGTAAGAAGAGAGCTTATGGAGAAGACCAGCATGCCAAACTAAATCAAAGGTTTTAGGAATGTCCAGAGCGATAGCCCTAACCTTTCCACATCTATCTAATGCAGGATAAAAACTATTGGTTATTACTGTTAACAAGTCAGCAGTAGAATGAGAAGATCAAAATCCATAAAGTAAGTTATTAGATTGAAGATAAGAGATTAAGTGTTTGTTAATTAAAGACTCAAAACCAAAACAAATGCTTATGATAGGAAGAAAGACTAATGGAATGTTCAGTCAGATTTGCTTTCCAGATTTTTTGAAAATAGGAGGTGGAAAGGAAAACAAGACTCTGATAAGCATTTATTAAATATTTTTTGAAAGTATTGGCAACAGCTCAGAAGATTATAACAGATATGTTGTCTAGACAACAATCTGTAGTACCTTCTAAGCAATAAATCACTTTAGATACAGAAGTTTTTGTGGATGGCTTGTACTGTTTGCATATTTCAATTATGTTCCACTTGATTATAGGCATGTTACCTGTATTTCCAGAATTTTTGTTTCCAGAGAACCCTCTAAAGACTCAAGTTTTTTCTACTTTTACGTACAATTAGGGGTTTTAGGTAGTTTCCTTTATTGCAACAAAAGAGCTTAAAAAATCTGTCTCACTAATAAATAAATTTGTTAAACTATATATATATATATATATATATATATATATATATATATATATATATATATATATATATATATATATATATATATATATACATATATATATAATTTAACGTATATCAAAAGCATTTAAAAAATGTTGTTGATTCATTTTTTAAATTAATTTTATATTTCAGCTGACTTTTTCGATAAAAAAGATGCTGATGAGGTGAGTTTGCGTGAACAAATTGAAAAACTACGTTTACAAGCTGGTGATTCATGGCTTACAATTTATAATGAAATGCTAGATTCAAAAGAACTGTTAATGGATGATAAAGCCACAGATAATAAAGAAGTGGTAAATTATAAAGAAATACTTGATTACAATAAAGAGGTTTATATTTTATTTTTATTTTTTGTGTTTAGGAAGAATGACATTTCTGTCTATTTAAATTCAAATTAACGTTTTAGAGTTTATCACCATTTAGTACATGGAACATAGACAAAAATGAGATTGGATTGGATGATGAGCTTATAAAAGAAATTGAACATTATATTCATTCACATGTTGATTTGTAAGTCTTATGTAATCGATACCTTATAAATTTCCAAATGACAGTTTAAATATTTGGTATAGGAATAAAAAATTATTAAATTCATTTGTTAAAATTGAATTATAAATTGATTTAATAATTTTTTTTTAAATATTAAAATGATAAATTTGTTTTGTGTTGTAATGGTAAATTAGGTGTTGAGTTTATAAATGGGTTGTATAATTAAAAAATTTTAAAAATTTTTAAAATTATACAACTTACTAAATTGTAAATTTTTAAGTTTTGATTTTACTTTTTTTCTTTACTTAGTCTACTAAAAAATATATTTTGGTTAAAGTTATTTTTTTTATCCAACGAAAATCAGGTCAGGTTATCTTGCTAATGGTAACATATAATCCAGTACTATCTGTTTCATGTCCTGCTGCCTTGTAGTATACACTCTTTTAGGCAAAGACAAGGAGAAGCCAACTCTGACTTTAAACACTCCTGCCTTCAGGCTCTTTATTGAATAAAGGCTAAGATAGGCAAATGTTAAACCCATCCGACTACTGTCTTGTAGAAGGTCTCCTAGGCAAAGACGTAAGGGGTAAACAAATTCTATCTGTAGACCAGCCTCGCACCTCTTCTTCATCTATTCGGCTGGCGGAGATGTATTTATGATACATTTTTCCATGTTAGGATGTGGAATGCCAGATCTTCTTGACTCAAGGCATGGGTTTTGCTTGTGTTTATGGCAACCTATTCTATTATCTTCTATGAGCTACAACTCTAAAACTTAGTTTTATGGTTTTGAGGCCGGCTGGTATTCAGGCTTCCCGAACTCTGTGGTAGCTCTCAGAGAGGCTGATTCCATCAACAGCTGCAAAATATCAGAGTATTAACAGTGCCATGTTGTACATGTATGGTGTCCCTGTTCGTACTTATGGTGTGCATTGTCGAGACCACATTTGGAGCCCTTTATTACGGCTTAGGGTTTATTAATAGTAATGAGGCAATTACTATTAATAAACAAGTCTGTAGATTGCTACGTATAATTTAAAGACTCTGAGTTTTTGAATAAAATCATAGTCATAATATAAGATAGTCTGGCCAGTTGGGCCGTTTTTGCAATATTCTATTGTTTTTAAACAATAATAGTTATAACTTTGAATTTATGTTGAAAATCGTTGATTTATCGTACCCAGACTACTAATAAGTGCGCAAAAATCTAAAAAATGGCAAACTCAACAGATAAACAGTGCTTCAATTATTTCATTTTAGATCTAGAATCAGATATATTTTTTTGTAAACTCAATTTTATCAATAATTTCAGTTCTTTTCTTGTTAAAGTTGGGAGTAAAAACACTTAAACCAAATTCATTTTCACCAGTGTATCATAAAAAGTCGGAGCATAAATTCAAATGCTACATAACAAAGTAGCATTTAAATAGTTTCTCTTTAACTCAGCAAATTAAAACACAAACTGATATTAAGCAAGCGTGTTCTTCAAATAAGTTCTAGAATTTTGTTTAAAAAAACATTTTTATTGTTACAAACAATCTTTGCTGTAACGTGTTCTGCAAAGAAATTCATTAATTTTGTTTTAAAAAATATTCTGACATTATTGCTAAAACATGAACATTATTGTTAAAAACGATCTTTACTACTTTCCATATATCAGAGAAGAGCTTTCAAAGTATATATTTTTAAAAGATGATACGAAGCTATTATTTAAGTTAATAAAATGAAGTTATAAAAATTATTTAAAGTGAAGTTGAAGTTTTTTATCCAAAATTTATAGTTGCAGATCAGAAAGGATTTTTCTAACAGATCCTCACCTCTAGTAGGATATAAACTTGCTAATCATATTTAAAAAGAGAAAAAGAAAAAAATTTAGTTCAATGTTTTGGTTTTTATGTATTTAGTACTTTTTATCGAAGAATATGTTAGTCAAAAAGAAAAGAAAAAAACAACCTAGAAAGGGTTTTTAAACTCCATTGAACAAATATTAGACATTTAATAAAGGTTATTTTGATAACCAAAAAATTTGTTAAAAACATTCTAGCATTTGAACTGTATTGTAGTATGATGCAATAATAAAGTGAATAATAAAGGAATTAGCACAAATTTTAGTTATACGAGGCTACCCTATTCAATCTATTAACAAAGGTTTTAAAAAAGCACTGCAACATACACAACACGAACTTATCTACAACAAATATAAAGAAGAAAGAGAAAAAGAGAGAATTTTACCGATGGTTACAACATTTAGAAAAGTTGGAAAACTCATAAATAAAATAGTTAAAAAGCACTGGAATATTGTTGAACAGGATACTGATCTTAAAAGTATATCGCCAACTCCACCTATTGTGAGTTTCAAAAACATCAAATCGATCAAGAAATTTCTAATCCAGACGGCGCATAAAAAAACATAAATAAAAAATCTATTTTTTCTTTACTAAGTTACAATTCCTAAGTATTACTATTTACATATTATTTTTGGTTTACCATATATTAATTTTCTAGTTTTATTTATAATTTACTAGTTTTTTTTTTTTTTTTTTTTTTTTTAATTTTTATTGTGCGTATGTTATGGTCTCAAAATTACATTGAATTCGGACTGTAGAGAAACTTTTACTTTTCGGATATTTCGATTTAGAAATGGTCTCAAAGTTACTTGTAATTCGGACCGTAGAGAAAACTTTACTTTTCGGATATTTCGATTTAGAAATGGTCTCAAAGATACTTGTAATTCGGACTGTAGAAAAAACTTTACTTTTTGGATATTTCGATTTAGAAATGGTCTCAAAGTTACTTGTAATTCGGACAGTAGAGAAAACTTTACTTTTTTACAATGTTTTTTCCGCTTCGTATATCATTTTTATATCACGATTTATATCACTGTTATATCACCCAAAACAAATTTTTAACCACTCATTTATTTTAAATTTATCTAACTTAGTTATAGTATTTAGTTTTTTTTTTTATTGCAATATTCATTAATATATGCTGATTTTCATATTGATACTGTTTATTATGAATTTTTATGTTTTATTATCTTGCATTGATTACTCAACTTTATTTGAATTTTCATATGCACAATTTTCATCTTTTATTATTATTCAGAGAATTTTTCTATATCCTTCATTTAATGTCTACATTTATGCCGGTGACATTATTAAGGTCTTTGTGCGATGATTTTTTTCGCAATCACACATTGTTCTATCATTGTTATGATATTGGGTTTTGCGGGTTTCTCATTTTCCTACACTTTTAATTGGTTATCACATTTCAAATGAGGTATCCATGACAGCGTTAGAGTTTGTTTAGACTATTGTTGTTTTGTTGACTTAAAAAAATTTTTTAATGAGGTATTCTGTTATCTTTGGCTTGTTTATGCTAATAATACCTATTTGGTTTTATATCTTAAAATAAATTTATTGATATTTTTATGTTTCTATTAAAATTTTAATTTATTGTGCTTTCATGTTTTCTTTCGGTGGTATGGTAAGTGATTTATTTATTTATTTTTATTTATTTTTTACAGTTTATCTACACTTTTCATATCATATCATTAAAAAAACATTAGTGTTTTACAAATTTTGGGTTGGTTGGGTTTTGGCTATTTGTAGTGAGTCCTTTTTTACTGCAGTATGAATATGGCGTAAGTCGCAGGGTAAAGCATAAGTGGCGATGACGTTTGTCTAACGGGATAAACTAGTTATAAATGCTGATCCTCATCGAAACGCCAGTAATAATAGACGCGACTCTGAGGAGATGTTTATTACTTAACCACTACAAAAATTATTTTTACACATTAGCATTAATGTTTTTTTTCCATTCTGAGGCCTTACATTGTTATATCCATATTTTTTTTTTTTTTTTAATACTTTTCGGTTTTTTAAGTTTCTTGTTTATCTATTTTTTGTTTTTTTTTAAAAAAAATTTTATTTTGGTTATATATTTGGTTATATATTTGTTGTATTGTTATATTCTTCGTTCGTATTAGTTTTTTATGAAACAATTTTTTGTTATTATTATTGTAAGTACTGCTTGGATGTGTTGTCTGTCTTATTTGTTTTGAACTTTTACTCTATTAATCTTTATTTTTGTCTTGACAACTGTCAAAATATGCTTCGTTCGATAAATAATTCTTCTTTATTCTAATGTACTTCATTTCTTCCCTCGGGTGTTTTCACTGCTCGTGTGTGACCATTCGGCGAATTTTATATGCCAAAGTTTTTAAATAATATTGGGCCTAGCCCGTAAGGGTTAGTGTTACGGTAATCGATCACAACTATTTTCCAAATTACCGCGAAAGAGTATGTTTGTTTTTGGAAGACGCCTGGGCTCGCTTTTTAGTCATAAGTCAGTTATAAATCTATGCATAGGTGTTTAATCCATCATGGTTTTCTGGAGTATGACTGGGCTGGCTTGGTGTAGTTCAGAGATATATCTTTTATGTTGGTTACTAACAACAAAAGACTCTACTGAACCTTATAAACGGAACAGACTTACACATTACACCTATATACCCTTATGCACATACAGCCTTTTTACATCGTTTTGCATGCTTTTTGTTCTTTTATTAGATAAACTATCTTTGTTTGAACTCATCTTTTTTTTAAATAATATTTTCTTTTATTAGATTGTATGTGGTTGTAATGTATATACAGATTTGTATGTTTTGTATATGTGCTTATCGTGTGTGATTGATTGTTCATTTTATGATTCATATGAAAAAAATATATAAAAGCGATTCTTAAAAACTTACATTTTTTGATATGCTTTGATGTATGACTTTTTGTTGTTGGTTTTGTTATGGTCTCAAACAACGTTTAGTACGGACCGTGGAGAAAACTCTATATTTTGGTATTTTGATTTTGTTAAGGTCTCTAAGTTGCTTTGATTCGAACTATATAATATAACTTTACCTCTTTAACAAAAAAAAAAAAAATTTTTTATCAATAAAAATTTAAATTGTTTGTTAGTTTATTGTTCTAGCATGTTATAACTTATATTATATGCATTTATTTTACTATTAAATTTATCGTTTAATTGTGTCTATCATTTAGTTCGGATCCACAAACTTGAATACTGTGTTTGCAGTCTCAATGCTGTCTTTAACTTTAAATTATCTTCACTAGCTTTCTATTGTCTCTTACATGTCTATTTGTCTCTTACCTGTTGTGTTTGGTTATCACAGGTATCTTTGATAAAATATTTTTCTCTAGGATCAGCAAAGAAAACTGTTTACTCCATCTAACAAAAAAAGAAATTTTACACCATTTACTCTGGCTAAATTGTTTTTGTCAACACCACATAACAACATGAGGCAATATAATAAAGAAATCATTCAGGCTAAGTCAAATTTCTCACATCTATTTTAAAATAAACTAGTTACTAATATATCAAAACATGTTCTAACAGACGATGAAAAAGAGCTCTTAAATTAAAAAAATAAAGTGAAAATCAATCAAAGTTGTGTAATTTTTTACTTTAAATAATATTATCGTATAATGTAATGAATAAAGCAATTTGTTTAACTACTTAAGTAGTTTAATAATTTTTTTGGGATTTTATGCTTTTCGTGTATTATTAGTTATAATATATTATAACTAAAGATATATTTTTATTTATAATTTGCAAAACTTTTCTTCTTGATTCTTTGTTATAAACATCATCATTGGAAGAAAATATTTTAAATAGAAAAAGATTTATACTTCTTCGAGAAGTTCCAGAACCAAATATGTAACAATTAAGATGAGTCATTTGCAAAAATCAAGGATAAATCAATATTCTTCTTGTAAATATTCTTCTTAATGCGCATTTGCTTCGGCTAAAACAACAACATTATTTTTTCTCGGTATGCATTCATTATTTATTTTTAATTAAAAAAACTTATTTATTTTTAATCAAAAAAACTTGGTTCAAATCTTTTTTTTAACATTATCTTTAATATGAACACAACATGTGTCGGGAGTTTGGGATTCTTTTAAGAATACTATATAAAATATTATTAACTATTTTTAAAGTTCAAATAAAAATTTTGTAGCTTTTAAAAATCTTCAAATGATTTAAATCATTTGAAGGTTTCGAAAACATAAAAATGCATAAATAATTTTAATGATTACTTATTTTTCTACAGTTCATAATCTTTTTGTTGTTGTGTGCAATATTTTAACTCTAAAATATTTATTTTTGTTTTTAGAAATAAGGAAACCTTTTTAGTTACAACTAATGATGGAACATTTAAAGAGCGAATGATAACATTTGATTTAAAGGCTAAGCTTATGATTGTAACAGACTTGAGCTCTGGATTACAAATAAACACCTATAATTTAGGTAAATTACATTTTTTATGTATTTTCTGTTACTAGGTTTACTCAGTGGTGGTTTTTGGCAATAGTCAGTAACTCTTTTTCTGAAAACTACCTCTTTACATATGCGTATGCCCACTCCATTATGGCACTTAAATTCCTTTCTTAAGTTTCACAAAAAAGAAATTTTTTAAAGAGTATATCAAGCTGTATCTCAAATAAATATGTTTGTAACTCTTTTTAACTCAATGCAAAACTAACTCTATTAAATGAAATTAAATTACTAACAATTTATTTGTTAAAAATTAGTGTGTCAAAAGTTCTTTTTATGAACTATAATGTTTGTTTAACTATATAAGAATTGTTGAAAAATTTTGCTTATATACTTGGGGATGTTTTTCTTGTAAAAAAAAAAATCATCTTTTGCAGACAAAAAATTGATTCTAATACAGATTACATATAAACTTTGTAAGCTTTTAAAAAAATTGAGAGTTGTTAGAGATGAAGGATTTTAAAAGTAGGTAAATGCAAGCTATGCTTGAAATACAAGAGCAGCGATTAGCAGCTCCGGAGCCGGAGCTGGAGCTGTCCGGAGCTTGTGATTATACATGGAGCTGAGCCAGAGCTGGAACTAAAAAAATTTCCTGTTGGAGCTGGCTCCAGAGCCAGCTCCGCTCTTTTTATTTTGAATAACCAAAGTTGCATAAAGTTATTATTTTTTTTTCAAAGAAATGGAATATTTAGGCTAATTAAAATATTTATAATTTCTAAATATAGCATTTTATCATATGCTTAACAAAATGGTAAGCTAGCAATTATTATAATATTAAATGTTTTATAATATTGTGATATTAATATGACATTGATAATAATTATATTCTCAAAATTTTTTGAGAATTTAATTATTATCAAATTATTTTGTGTAATATAATGTGGTTCTTATTATTGAGTTTGATAAGTTACTTTAAAACAAAACTTCTAAACAATGTCAATGATTGGTTAATGAAAATATACTTTATCCATGTGTTCGGGCATAAGTCACATGATTCATTTTAACATTTTTAATAAGTTAAAACATTTAAAACATGCGAGTTCCAATTAAAATTAATCAATGAATAGTTAAGTTTTTAAATTATTTTATTTATTATTAATGCGAATTAGTTACATAGTGCTATATAATGGTTAATTGTTGTTTATTTTATCTATAGTTTTAATAAAAATGGCTTCAAACTCAAACAATCCTGAGAGGCTTCTAGATAAGTTTTTTTCAATTGATAAAATTACAAAACTGGTGACATGCAAGATTACAGAAAAGATAAATGATAAAGTGATTTCATGCGGCATGCAAATAAAAAAATCAAAAGTTTACAATATGAAACAGCATTTGGAAAGATCACATTTATAAGAATATAAAATTGTTGAATCTGAAATGAGCCTTATGACCAAAAGAAAATCTTCAGAATCATTTTTATCAAATTCACAAGATACCAATACTAAAAGTCAAAGCAGTCTACTTTAGATTCTTTTGCTATCACTAGTAGTAGAACAATATATCAAGTTAGTGCTAAAACTTTTAAAATGGGAATTATTAAAATGGTAGTGAATAACAGAGTTTCCTTGAAAACATTTGCGGATGAAGGATTTCAGTTAGTTACTGGCCAATTAGGTAAAACTCTTGGATTCAGTACTGGACACAATTCTATACGCAATTTAATTAATAAATTTGCTGAAAAAAAGCTGAAATAAAAGAAATACTGTTACAGAGATTTTTATATGTGAAAATAGATACAGCCACTCGACACCAAAAGAACTATTTGGGAATAAATATTCAATATAATTATGCGGGAAAAAATCAAGTTAAAACTTTGGCACTGATAGAGACAGAAGGAAAGCACAACTCTGCTGCTATCAAAAAAATGGTGGAAGAAACTATATATATTTGTTATCAGCAAAGATCAAATGTCAATGCAGCTAATATGATCAGAGCAGTCACGTTTTTAAACGAATATTCTAGTGATGAAAATTTTCAAGATGAAGCCTTGCAGGACGAAGAACAAGAGGAGTTTTTACAACAAGATACAAATGAGGTGCAGGATACAAAAGTGCTGCGGCTGGGGAAGAAAATCTAGCTTTTGTCCTCCCAGATTAGTATCATCAATTGTCTCATTACATTAAGCTGATGTGCTGTGTTATTCACACTTTGCAGCTAGCTATTCGCGATGCTTTAAAAAAACCATACATTGCCTAACTTTTGGCAAAAGTCCGTTATGTTGTAAAAAAACTAAAAAACTCACATACAATATTATTGGCTAGGAAGCAATGCAATTTCGTTCCATTTTTGGATAATGTGACACGCTGGAGTTCTACATTCCGGATGATTGATTGGTATTACTTTTGCGTCCACTGTGTGAGCAATTTGCTGCAGTTGATCAGATATTCTTTCTACCCCCTGAAATATGGAATGAGTTGAGTCATCTTCCCAACCTTTTAAAAAAGCCGTATGATGTGACAGTTAAACTTCAAGGAATCGACATCACTCCAGAAGAATTCCTAATGGAATGGTTAAAATTAAAATCTGACCTAGAGAAGAATCAAGGACTAATTGCAAAAGACATTTCAAAATCAATGCAGAAACGAGAAGAAAAACTTTTTGATTATGATATATTTCTAGCTGCAGTTTATGTTGATGCCAGATATAGAATACTGTTGGAAGAAAACCAAATAATACAAGCAAAACAAGGCTTAAAAACAGTAGCAGAAAAAAATTATAAAAGAGATGCTAAAAGTATGATAGAAAGTCAAATAATAGGAAATACTGCTGAGCTATCTACAACACTTCTTTCAGTTTTAAGTGAATCTAACTCAGATGGAGAAGAGGATGACTTTGAAAAAGAGCTTGATAAAAAAGAAAAAAGGAGAAATTTGAGCAAAATTAGTTTTAATGATAATAATACTTTTAATACAAATTTTATGGACAATTGTAGAGTAATGGGACGTTTAAAAGTAAAGTTAGCTTTTGAGGGAATTGAAGAGTATCCAAAAAAAATACAAGAAGCGTGCAGAGTTGTCACTTGTATGCCTGTCTCACAAGTAGAGAGGCTATTTTCTGCTCTTAAGTTTATATCAAGCGATCTGGATTCTTCACTCAAACCAGATATTTTGGACAATATTTTATTTTTAAGGATGAATCAAGATTTTGATTAATAAAATATTAATAGTATTTAAGTTACTGTCATAAAATAGTTGAAATAATTTTTTGATTTTTTTTTTGTGGAGTCGCTCTGGAGCTGCTCCGGAGCTGGAGCTGGAGCTAGAGCCAAAAATTCTAAAGGAGCCGGAGCCTGGAGTGGAGCCAACTTTTATACCTCGGCTCCAAAGCCCTGGTGATTAGAGAACTTGGTATTGAAGGGTATGGTGGTTCCAATATCCTTAATTGAATAAACAGTTTCAAAATTTGTAACAGAGTTTAATGAATAAGAATGAGTAGCTATTATATCGTAGCATAAATAAAAACATTTCTTGGTTGATGTTTTTAGTTGCCAATCATTGGACCATGCCAAGATATTTTTAAAGTGTTTACAAGATGAATGTTGTTGTAATCAATTCATGTTGTAATCAATTTGTGTTGTAATAATTTCTTGATTGATTCAACTTAATATCATCTGCAAACAGCTTAACCTTCAACAGTGCTGTAAACTATGTTGTTAATAAATATTGAGAACAATATAGGTACAGTTCCTTGTTCCAGTTCCCCTCTTCACTGGAATGTTTTCGGAAAATGAGGTACCAACACACACACATTGAGAGCGATTAGTTACAAATTTTTTAATCCAATTAAATAGTTTGTATTTAATACCATAGTGTTGCAATTTGAAGATTAGTTACCAAGTCGGATAATTTACCAAGTCAAATTCTTTTTCAAACTTAATAGAGGTGATGTCAACTACTTTTTTATTGTTTATGGCAGTGGTCAATTTGTTTAAAGTTGCTAGCATTTGTGTGTAATTTATAAAACCAAATTGATGTTGAGAAATAAAGTTATTTATTAACAGATATATATTTTTCATAGTTTTAGCTATGATTAATTCCATAACTTTGAATGATACAGGTCATTGATATAGGTCTGTAGTTGGTTGGTAGAAAAGGGTTGCTTTTCTTAAAAATTGGACAAATTATTGCTGATTTCCAAGTTTTTGGTATAGTATTAGTGCTCATTGACATTTCAAACAAAATAGAAAAAGGAATGGCGATGGTAGTTGCTATTCCTTTTTCTAAAATTATTGGAGGGTAACTGTCTGAAGTACAATTATTGAAGGGTAACTGTCTGGAGATTTGGAAAACTTTGCTGAGAGTTTTGTAGCATACAATGGAATAATACATTACTCAGAGAATTTTAATGGGATGGCAAATTTATTGGGGGATTAACACCATTGTCATTGTTAATTGATTTGAAATATATCTTTGTTTTGATTATTAATTTTGAGTAGTAACAATAAAATCATGTCGTATGCATTGCGAGCAGTAACCAAAATTAGGTAGTATGAATGTTTTTGAAGAATTATAAACGAACTTTGAACAAATATATTAGTTATTAAGGATAAATTTTTTATGCTTTTGTTTTTATCTCTTTTATGTGTTCTGTAAAAAGTATTTTGCTGTTAATATTGGCACCAAGCAAAAAAAAAAAATTATTAACTAATTCAATATTGAACTTACCACCTAATATTATTGAAGTTGGCAATATTATTTGTATACTTATTTGTTAAAATAATTGCTTTAGTTTTATTCGAATTGATGTTGAGTTAATTAGCATAGCACTACTCAGTAAATTTATTAAATGCTGACTCAGTCTCTGTTATTAGATGTTTTAGATTGGTATCACTTGTCTTAAGTGTTGTGTCATCTGCAAATAATATTGATTCAAATTTCATAAGATATTCAGGTAGATTTTTGATGAAAACCAAAAAAAAAGAGGTTCTAAAATGGAAATCTGTGGTACACTGATGTTAACAAGTTCCTCGTTAG